GCCGCCGGAGTGGCTCGACGGAAGCATGATCGGCGACCGCGGGTTCGACCCGTTCGGATTCGCGAAGCCCGCGGAGTACCTTCAGTTCGACCTGGACTCGCTGGACCAGAACCTCGCGAAGAACGTCGCCGGAGACATCATCGGAACCAGGGTGGAGGCCGCGGAGGTCAAACCGACGCCGTTTCAGCCCTACTCCGAGGTCTTCGGCTTGCAGCGGTTCCGCGAGTGCGAGCTCATCCACGGAAGGTGGGCGATGCTGGGTGCTCTCGGTGCTTTGGCCGTTGAGGGTCTCACCGGTGTCGCATGGCAAGACGCCGGAAAGGTACCGTTTTACTTTCTGTTTCCTTCATCTGATTCTACTTTTGTATACCCTTTTGCTCCTTCTCTTCTGCGTTTCGCCGGTTTTTGGAAACGGAGCATTGTTTTCGGTTAGGTAATTTATCGAACACTTGGTGGTTGTGAATTGTGATTACGCTTTGTTCGTTTGATTTTCCTTTGGTTAACGACATAATTAGGGATATCTGCTTGCGCGTGGAAACTTGGGAGCTGAACTTTTTGACAAGACTATAGAATTTGCATGGGGATGTTGATTTTTTTTATTTTATTTTATTTTGTTGGATGGGGGTATTTTGTTGTATGAGTTACGGACAACGTAACATGGTCCCGTATCAATAACATACCTTGGACGTGTCTCATTGTTATCCACTGCCATATAGAAATAGTGCCACCAGATATTTACAACAAACTATTTTAATAATCAACTAAAATTATTATAAATAAAAAATACATTATCAAAATAGAAAAAATAAAAAATAATTTGTACATTTTTTAATCTATTTCTTACATATTTTTATTCACATAATTAAAAAATAAAACAAAATAACATTTTATTTTTATAACTATTTTTTATTTCATTTCACGACTCACTTTCTTTATCGCTTTATATATTATATAACTTTTTTTTTTAATAAAAATTTTGTACTAATGTAATTTCTGTAGTGCGACAATGATATATGACCGGCTGAAGATGATGATGAAGACCCTTGTGGCCATGAACGATGAAAATTAAACAAAGCTCCACATTATTATTTGGCCCGTCGCGTTAATGTCTTTTTATGGGTTCCTTCTTTCCCCCAAACGGACAAAATGACATATAAGTCCTAGATAATAAGTTCTACATTTAGAATGGGTTTTGAGTGAACCATGTATGAAGTTTAATATGACAGTAGTGATTACTATTAAAGACGAAAAAAAAGTGGTTGTGTAGTCCAATACATGTATGAAGTTTTGATCTATTTGTTTTGATGTTGTAACTTTGAATTTCAGGTAGAGCTGGTAGAAGGGTCATCTTACCTGGGACTTCCTCTTCCATTTTCATTGACCACACTGATCTGGATCGAGGTGATAGTGATAGGGTACATAGAGTTTCAAAGAAATGCAGAACTTGACCCAGAGAAAAGGTTGTACCCTGGGGGAAGGTTCTTTGATCCTCTGGGTTTGGCCAATGATCCTGAAGAAAAGGCTAGACTTCAACTTGCAGAGATCAAGCATTCTCGTTTGGCCATGGTCGTCTTCCTCATCTTCGCAATTCAAGCTGCAGTAACAGGCAAAGGCCCTATCAGTTTTCTTGCTACCTTCAGCAAGTGAGATATATATGTATAACTTCATAAATAAAAACTTTCCACCTAAGTATCCTCTAATTTTATTCATTCTTTTCTGTGCACCCAAAAGACAAAAGCTGCTACGTATCATTATGTTTGTATGTATGTACCTACTCTGTTGTATGCTTCTGTATGATATAAAGTAATATTTGGTACAATTTATGTTTCTTAAGAAACAATTTGGGATAATTTTACTAACCTCTCGTGATATTAGTGATAACTATTAAATACACTTAAATCATGCTACTTGATTTAAAAAACCTTCTCGACCATAGAAAGGGTATGAAAGTTATTTTAAATCCTACATTCATGGAGACTATCATGATTCGTGATTAAGCAATGAAATACAAAACGTTTTTGATAAAACTAACCCATAAGATAGATTAAAATGTTAGTCAAATATAAAAAAGGAAGTTACGTGTAATTTTTTTAGATTTAGTAGAGTTTAAGTGTATTTACTATAAAGTTTAAGGGAGGTCATTGTACCTATTTCAACATATTTGGATAAATTATTATATACAGATTGAATCAATGATCTTCTAAGTTTTTTTTTTTTTTTGAAAAGAATGATCTTGTAAGTTGTATCTAACAAATTACATGTGCAAGTTTTCATTTGTGTGCTTAGATTTTTGAATTATATGTTTAGTGTAAGATTAACAATAAAGAAAAAAGTGTTTTTATTATTAAATATGATTATTTATCATTTTTTATACATGAATTAGAATAATTATTTGTTTTTGTAAACATTTTGCTCCCCTACTCTCCTTAACATATCACATGAATTTCATCTCTTATATTTTTCATATCAAATAAATAATTTATTATGTAAAGAGTGACTTAGTATCAAACTGAAATATATATTTTATCTTCAAATTTTAAATATTATTTTCATTAATCATTTTTATATTTATTTCATTATTCTTTAGAAAAATCAACAATTAAAAATTATTTATCATATTATATATAATTATATGTTCAAAATTATTTATTTATTATAAATTTTAATTATAATAAAATACAGATAATCACAAATACTTATTTATTATAAATTTAGTTATATCAAATAAATAATTATCTTATAAATGGACCGTTTAAAATGCTATATCATAAATATTACAAAACGTTTCACTGAAGTAATTAGAAACAATTTAATAGGATGATGTGAGATTAGTTTTTCAAATCAATAATTATTTTTTTATCAATCCAAATCAATAATTATAAATGTATTTACTGTTTAAAATGCTAGTTAAATCATAAATACAAAACGTTTTACTGAAGTAATTAGGAACAATTTAATAGGATGATGTTACATTAGCTTTCAAATCAATAATTCTTTTTATCAATTCAAATCAATAATTATAAATGTATTTATGCTTAAAATATATTCTCTCCTTTAAATTATTTTTAACAAATTCATAGACTCGTTAAAAGTACTTATTAATTATTTCTAACTATTTATAAAACAAAATACTTATGCTATAAAATACATTATTTGATGAAAGTATTTTATGCTTTTCATTTTTTAGTATGAGCCTTTAAGATCCATGTTACCAAAAACAAAAAAAAAAGGTATCTTAGGCGAAAAAAAAAATTGCAAACCCTAAGTTGGTAAAGTAAGTTATTGTTTATTTAGTTGATACCTAAAATCTAAATTTAATTTTACCCACCATAACCCACATTTCTTATAAAAAAAACATTAAAATAATTTAAGTATGCATTTCAATCACATTTACTAAAATCCAAACCGAACCACACATTTTTAAAATAAAACTTGCATGACCTAACCCTTTTTAACTTGTAATTATAATATGTTGGTGATCGATGACTAATGAATCAACCATTTTACATTATTTAAGTGCAACTAGGGGGTGTAAAGCTAGCTAGGTAGGCATAAACGATTAAAAAAGTAAAATATCAAAATCAACGAAATGAAATATCTTAAAAAGAAAAAATAAATTGCCACAACAATATAGTTAAATTTGAAAATTATTTTGATTTAATCAATGATTTCAAAATTAAATTGTGATATATAATTATATTAAATATTTAAAAGTTATCACCTAAAATAATTTTACTCCATTCATAGAAGATTATGGAGGGCACAATTACACCAAGAAGATAAAATAAAAAATATATGCCTTATCGCCGTAAGTAAAAGGCAACAAAATACAAACATTAAAAGAAAACAACACAGAGAATAAATAAATACAAATATGCAATAGTTTCTCACTTTTAAGTCCACAATTTTTGTTGTGTTTTTTGCAAGTACATTGTAGCAATTGACAGAGGTAAACCTTGATCCATAATTATTCTTCTCTGATTCTTCTTTATCTGAATTGTTGTTGTTAGTTGCAGAATCATGGGGAGGTTGTTTGTGGTGAACTTGGAAGGGAAGATCTATAGCTGCAAACACTGTCGTACCCATCTTGCCCTTTACGAAGACATCTATTCCAGGGTTTCATTTTCATCCCTTTCCTAGATTTCAATTCATTCTTCTCTTCAAATGGATTATTCTGCTCTTTTTTCTGTTTCATTCATTGCTTTTTCTTACTTTCACCAAATTTGATGTTTGACTTTACTAGAATCGGTTTGTTAAAGAGATGAGGGTTTTCCTCTTCTTTTCCCAATTGTCTGTTTAATGCGATCATCTTAGAAGTTAGAACCTTTGAAATGGCTATTCGTTACTCTTATCGTGTTATGCTTTTGGTGCTTTTAGACTTTATATTAGCTACTTAATACTTATGCCCCTCTCAAGTCATGGATATCTTGATTCTCGTGAGTGCGTTTATTGTTTTTTGTGGTAAATGAACCGAATTGTCTAGAGAGTTGAGGTATTTCTCTCTTATCTACTTATGAACTATAATATATAAAATTTCTTGATCTTTTATATAGAGAGACCATTGATGTTCTTTAGAGTTTTTTCCTTCTGTTGAGACATGGTTGGTTCAACATCTTTCACCGGGAACCTATGGAAAACAACCCATTAACCCTTTCTTATTCCCATTTCCTCATAATTTTGTAAATCTTAGATCAGAAATAAATGTGGTAGAGTTGTAGGCCTCCTTGCCCGTTTACTAGCAGAAGAGTGCTCCTGCAATTAATATCGGTCTTCTTCTCAATTAGAATTTGCACCATATTGATTATCTTGGTTGGAGAAAACTGAATGTGAGTAACTTGAGTAGCATTTTAATTAATCGACTATCGGTTGGGTTCACTCTAGGTTCCTGTTCACTGACCTAGATCCCAGAGAGACCTCAATCGGCTTGCGCCATTGACTTCAATTTGCATCTTCAAGCATTTCAACTTGTTACCTCTAGTGCACTTAGTTATGTTCAGACACACTTTGGTTGCATAGATGCATCTTTGGAATCTGTTATTATTTGTAATTGATGAGATGGAAGTCTATTTCAATTTATTGATAAGTGCATCTTATCTTGGCTACCTTATGGGTTGTAATATGGAGTGCATTATCTTTTAAACAAACTGTATGTTGCATTATTGCTGGGACTCCCCAATTATGATTTTGATTTTCTATATAAGAAAAAATTATCTGACTATCATTTTTTCCTTTGTTTATATTCAGACATTCCAATGCAGACATGGGAAAGCTTATCTCTTCAATAAGGTGTAAGTTATTCTTACCTTCGGCACCTTATCATTGTGCAATACTAAAACTGAAATAAACATTCCCTTGTTGTATCAAGACCATCAGCAATGAAACTTGGCAATGTAGTATTGTCAACTAAGATGTTAAAAAAGGAGAAGGAAATTTTTTTTTTGATATTTTGTTGGTCCAAGAACTTGTTTGAGGATATGCATCACCGGTAAATCCCCTTATGCTTGCATCATACAATTGTATGTGAATAACAAGTGCATGACAGAACATTGCATTATTGCTATCAGTCATTCAGTCCTATCAACTGTCTAGGTGATTGCAGATCTTATAGCATGTCATGTGTCACAAAACTATTGATCAAAACAGTTAAGTTATTCATGGCCTCTTGACTCTTGGACCTCTAAAGCTGTCACATTATAATATTGCAGTTGGTTCTGTTCACAGATATAGTTTGTGTTTCAACCTCTTATTCTTTGACAGTGTGAATGTTTCTCTTGGTGAAATGGAAGAGAGAATGATGATGACTGGGCTACATACCGTGGCTGACATTTTCTGTGTGGGTTGTGGATCAATTGTGGGTTGGAAATATGTAAGATTATGAGGCAGTGCATCAAACATCATGGTTTTTTTTGCCTGTTTTTCTGTAGTTTTTAGTCACTCAAGTGGTGCTTTTCAGGAGACTGCCTATGAAAAAAGCCAGAAGTACAAGGAGGGAAAATCAGTGCTTGAACGGTCAGTAAAAATGTTGAGTAGACATTGATAATACAATCAAGTAGTGAAGTCATCATGAGTGTTAAGTATGTAGTGGTTTAGATAAGTTCTATTATTGAGCAGGTACAAAGTGTCAGGTCCTGATGGAAGCCATTATTGGATCAGCCATGAGGCACATGTCGGTGGAAGTGATGCAGATGATGTCTAGTCATCTTACCATTCTCAGTTGTACATTCCTTAACCCTGCATTGTTCAATAAATGTGGATTTATAGAGGAAATTTCCGAAAATCAACATATTGTCAAACCCTGTCACTAACTCAATTTAAGTACATCTAATTGTTCATTCTAATGTTTCCTTTTAATTTAAAGAAAAAACTGATTCAAACTTCTAATTTGCCCTGTTTTTTCAATTTGTAGAACGGTATTTGGATGAAGAAAGCATTTCAAGTGCCCTGTCTCTGACTCCCTTTCTCTTTAAATGGAATGTATTCAAATAAAAGACTGGTGGAAAAAAATGTATTATAACCAAAACCTTATTGGTTGAATTCACTTTAGTTTCTTCCTGAAATCAAATTTCATCAATTCTCATGTTAAATAGAATTCTGCATGAATGTATACTGACATAACCGAATTGATATGCAAAGATTGGGATTCATGTCTTAGTGCATGAGTGGTTGAGTGGGATATACTAAAAGGTAAAAACTTAACAATGTTCTTTTGGTACTTGTGATACAGTTTTTAAAAATATAAATTAGAATTCCATCTAAGTACTTTGAGCTAACCTCTAATATGTTGGTTATTTAGTAAATTAATTATTTTGATTGAAAAACATGACAAGTGCATAAGATAATACAACTGAAGTCTTGACCAAAATATGATTGGCTGGGAAGTAATTTCTCGTATTTGTCAGATAGCTATTATTGTTTCCCTTATTCTAGATTCACTAGTTACTGTTGGTAGTCGTAGCACTAATATTTTCCTTTTTTTTTTTTTTTCTTCTCTAATGGGTTTAAGTTTAAAATTATAATTGTAAGTTGGTTATTGGTTTTTGAAGCGAATATATGCTAATTAGGTTTAATTGAGCAATAAACTACGGTGAGAAATATCACAATTGATGTTGTCTCTTATTAAATGTGATTTTAATAAAAATATAAATGTTTGGTTATTGTCAAGTAGAATTGCTTGTCTTAAAATCTTGATTTTACTAAAAGTGATAAAAAAAAAAAGTACTTATGTTGGATTGTAACATTAAGTTTTACATCAAATTTGGTTTCAGGATAAAAACATCTTAACATAAATAATTTACTTCAAAATAAATTTTAACTATTTTTTTTTTCAAAATCAATGTTGTAAACGGTTATCCGAAATCCGAACATCATAAGATGTTAACTGAAGTGCATCATAATTACAATTGTAAAGTAAAAGGATAATTCTTTATTGCATTTGGAATTTAGGTGGAATTAAGTGGTGCAATTTTTTTTCGCTTAATAAAAAACTTCTATATATTAATATTTTGCATTAGAATTTTTGAGTTTTTTTTACAATGAGAGGATTTATTCATTTTTATTCATTGGAATTACAATGAGGATACTAATATTTGAATCTAAAATTGTGCATTCTATCTCACCTTCCTACCACTAAGTTGACTCGAATGATTCAACGAGAGAATTTATATAAAAAAAATTATATCTAATTAGATTTTTATTTATTATAATTATTTATAAATTAAATATTAATATTTTAAAATAAATTGTCAATAAATAAAAAATGTGTGCCACAATATAAATTATTTATCATAAATATAAAATATAATTTATATGTTTAAAAATATCTATTTATACAAATCTTAAATATAATTTATATATTCAAATATAGTGTATATATATAATTCATTATTAATTCTAAATATATATAATAAATATGTCTGCGTGTTAAAATATTAGTTAGTTTTAAAATGCATATTTGATAAATTTAACAGCTGAATTATATATAATTTTGATTATTGTACACGTTGAAATTTATATAATTTAAACATTTATAGATATGTAGTTTTATAGTTAATATTTATTTATATATATATATATAGTATATCAAAATAAAGCTGAGTAATGAAATGATAAATTATTTTGTTGAAATTAAATGAAATTTCATAGACTCGATTGACTTAACGAGAACTTTTTAATCAATAATAATCAGATTAATGGAATTCAATACTGATATAAAGTTATTAAGTTGAAATAAGTAATTCAATACTTATTCCTACAGAAAGTGGATGTCATGATCTTAAAATTGATTTTGAAATGTGCAAGATGTCACTGTTATCTAATATCCATCTCAGTCCAATTTAATTCAAGTGGGTTTCGGCGTAGCCTAGTTAACAAGCTTGGGCTATTGAGTCAACTTGTTTATGCCATATTGAAGAAATGGGCCCAAAACTGTTACCTAAATTACTGTTATCTGACTAAACAAGATGGGTATTTTTTTATTCTTCCAGAATTCTTATCTAAAACGTATTAAACATTTTTTTCAGAAACAATTTAATTTAAATACACTAATACAGTAAAAATAAATAAACTATAATTCAGTTTTGAACCCGAATTTTACTTATATTAAGTTACAGGTATTGGTAATTTTAGTAATAATAAATATATGTAACTTAAATAGATAAAAATAAGTTATAATATATGTAGCTTTAAAATGTTTCTAAATTGAAATTTTGATTGGATTACATATATTAGTAATTTAGTAATAATACTTGAATAGGTCAAAAAATTATTTAATTATGATATTTTGAAACTAAAATCATATAATTACAAGATTTATTTTTTAAAAGAATAATTACGATAGTTATTTTTTTAAAAGGATAATTACGATACTTAAAATTAGGGGTGGGTAGACGGACCTGGGTTCGCGGACCGGTCCGTAAGTCCGCGGATTTCGCGGATAACGGACCCGTTTTTTTCAAATCCGTATGACTATGTCTAATTTTTGAGTTCGGCCCGTGAAGTCCGCGGACTTAACGGATTTAATCCGCGGGCTCGCGGGCTAGTCCGCGGACTTCACTAATTAATATTTTTAAATATTATGATTTTAATATTAAGTTGTGTATTTAATTTTTTAAATTATTATGACATTAAAATTATGTTTAGTTGGTAGGTATTTGTCATTTGAATTACTTTTATGACATTTTGATGCTTTTATTATTGAAAGTTTGGTACTATTATTTAAGTATTTGTAATTATTTTTATTTTAATATTTTAATATTTAGTATTTTAAACCATTTTAACTATTGATAAATTTTAGTATGATAAAATTTAGCTTATAAATAAAAAATATTTTTTTTCTTCTAATTTTATGTATTTTTATTTTTTAAAAATTTATTTTTTTGAACCATTATTTAGGCCCGCGGACCGGTCCGTTATCCGCGGATTTTGGCGGGCCGGATACGGACTTAAAAAATAAGTCCACTTATTTTACGGACCGGACTTATCCGGCCCGTATAAAACGCGGGTTTTACGGACCGGGCCTTAAACGGGCCGGACCGGTCCGTATACCCACCCCTACTTAAAATACTAAAATTACTTAATTAAAATTTGAAAGATCAAAATTAAAATATTTAAAGAACTAAATCATATAATTATAATACTAATAAATAAATACACAATTAAGCCTAATATTTATTTTAACAACCTACCTTCTTGTCTTACAATTAGCATTTATTATAGAATTACATGTTTGAAAAGTTATCTTTCTCTTGTTTTATTGTATTTAAAGAAACGATACCGTCTTCACCTAAAATAGGAAATATATGTATTTTCTCGTCAATAAAAAAGGTGTTGTAATAAAAGAATGACTTATAATTTCTATTTAACGCGCAAAATTCAACATATAATTAAGTCTCAAGATTGAAATTGAACTTTAAATTATTAAAATGTTTGAAAGTCCTGTCGAAATTAGAATCACATTTCAAGACCCAATTCTATAAAATTATAATATAACTAATACTAACTAATTCCAAAAACTTATTTTATTTTTAAATTTGTCTTTTATTTATAATAAAAAACCTGGGCATGAAAAATAGTAGAAATAAAAGAAAAATGTAATAAAAAGAAATTATTTATACTATATCTTGTACAGATTTTAAAGATAAGGAGCAAAATAAAAATAAACATTTTTAATTAAAAGTAAAGACCGTAAGGGAAAGAAAAGAGATCCTATATTATAGAGAACTGACTTTTTGTTCACAAGCAAAAAGTGTAATAAATATAATATGTAATATAATGGAAAAAGAGAAGAGAAATAAGAAAAAGCTTTTCCTTTTAAATATACTACATTAATCTTTCATCGAAGACAATTTTGATCCAATATTATAATAAGAAAAAATAAATAAATATATTTTTAATTCTTATAAAATTAACAAATTTTAATTTAGATTCTTAAAAAAATTATTTATTTTTCATTCTTATAAAGTTAAAACTATTGTTTTAAATCCTTATTTTTTTATGTGATCATTTTCACTGCCTTTTACTTGTTAGATGATCATTTTATATCTTACTTCAATTGTTAGAATATCATGTCAAAGTTTGACACCTCTAAAAACTTGTATAAATTCTTAAAATAATTATTTATCTTCATTAAAATAATTATTAGGAACAAAAAATAATGAAATTAAATATTTCTTAAAAGAATTATTTATCCTCTTTAAAATAATTGTTAGGGATAAAAAATAATGAAATTAAATCTTAGAAGTATGAAAAAAAATATATTTTATAGGAATCAAATCCAAAATATATTAATTTTACAAGAACCAAAAACAATTTTATTGAGGCAACTAAGTTGTTGAGAACTGCAAGTTACTAACACATCAAGACATCTATTGCGTACCACATTTAGCAACTATAGCCACAAAAGAAATAAAACACCATTGAATTCCATATATGCAAATGCATGGGGAATTTGATCATGAAAGAAGATATGTCAAAAGAAACAATCCATCAACTAAAAACTTCACGGTTTACAATTGTTATCGTCAGACCATCAGGACCTAAAATTAAGTTCCAACCGAAGAATACATGAATCTTATTTGATGTTTTTTTCTGGGGAGATTAGAAGTAGCATCTTATTAAATTCAAGTTCTAAAATTCAAATTATCCGATAGAATAGACCATTCGCTCTGATAGCACTGTACCCACGACCCTCCTGTATCTCCGTAACTGTGACTCAAAGTAACTCCGCTGCTTAGGAGCAAAGACATTCCGCAGATCCTTCAGAAATGCAAAGCAAACGATAGACAAAGATGATGTCAGATTGGAAGGGAAATAGAGACAGATCATGCACTGAACATAAAGGTCTGTCAAATCAAACAATATAACTAGTATCCCCGTGGAATCCTGTTTGGTTTGATAACACATCTTTTTTTTTCATTTCCTGTTTTACAAATATTTTAAAAATGTCAAGTTTTTGTTTTATTTCTTGTTTCCTAATATTTGTACCCAAACTAATAAAAACAAGATTGCTACTTTCACCATTTCCTATATAAATATTTGAAAAATGAAAGTAATACAAAAATTGAAAAAAATGTTTTTGACAAGTCATTTCAATTAGCTTATAGCCTACTTAACCAGACCATACACTTGACCATAATAGAGGTGCTTGGTAAACAAACTTATCTCACTAATTCATAGCATTTTTTCAGACGCTATTTGAACTTATGATGGAAAAAACAAAAGAGTGGTCATACTGTGAAGATATGTTAAACAACCTTGGTATTATTTTATGGGGAGATAGGATTAGGAGCAAAGAGAGGGGATAATGGAATTGAGTGTGTGTTTGGTTTCAATTTTGAAACTCAATTTCTTTGTCTCTCTCCACGTCCAAGTAGCAATTTAAGGAGAAGCTATTATTTTCTCCTTCCAGTTAAACGTGAAAAATCACGTTTTGACGCTGTTCCAAACACACAGTGAGTCTAACATTATAGGAACAAGAGTGGTCTTATTTTGTGAAGACTAGATATCTGAGATCCATCAGTTTGAACATTGAAACATACTAAAATTAGTAATAACAACGTTTTCTTCAATTTTTCATCGCTAACATTTTTAAGGACAATCAGTTGCTTGCTGTGCAGGAAGTAATAGGAATATTTATTCACCAACCATTAAGCATACCTCGTATTTCACACGAGAACCCTTTATCCCTAGCAAAACCTTGCTGACATCTCCAATTTCTGGATCATCATATGAAGTAGTTTCTAGGTCAGGTTCATCGTCAGAGAATTCTGATTCAGACTCAACCATCTCTTCATCTTCAAGCATGGGAACATCATTTGCATCTTCTTGGCCAACATCATCAAGCTCCCTTCCCATTACATCATCAGTAATTTGAGGTAGGGATGACTCTACATTTTCTAAATTGGAAAAATCTGATAAGACAACATAAGGTTTTCTGTCGAGTAGAGGCCTCGCAATGTCAAATGGAACCCACCTGGAAACCGTGCATTGCTGTCAGCCTTTATAATATAGGAAACAGAAAAAAGTGATCCAAGATCAGGGGGAAATCACAGTATGACCAATGTAACATACACACCAGAAGACTATGATGGCACAATAATTATTTTACATTATCAATTCGTTAGGTGTAGAGATTAACCAAGTCAAAGAGAGGTGAATGGAAATAATTGAAAGTCAAAGACAGTTTGATACAAACTAAATGCTCTACAAATTCAAGAATAAACTGCAATCATAATGAGGAAGTGATTTTGTTAGCATGCTGAAATGGAATAACTTACTGATAACGTAGAGGACATAAAAGCTCTGACGGGCGATATGCAGCTTTGTATCTCATCTTGTTGCAAGAGTGAATATAGTAGCCAAGATAATAATATTGTAGACTAGGACAATAAACCTGGTTTTCTTTCACCCAACCTATTTCTTGAATCGCTGAGTACTTGCCTAGTGATAGAAAGGCAAAGTCTGGATCCCAGAACAAATATTTACTTGACAAACAATTGGGAAGGATATCTATAACACCAACAGCCACTAACTGGCCGTCTATTAGATATTGTTGATGGAAAGAGCCAAAACCACAAGGAGGAACTGTGTTATCACCAGTAGGAGAAACTTCTAATAATGGAGTATCAACCAAAAACCTGCGATATGAATTCTCTGTGACATTGTGTGGTTTATCATTATGTACTTTGAGCTGATATTTTCTGTACAGAGCAAATTCTTCTGGATCAAAACTGGATCTGTTTAAACGAATTTCAAGCTTTCGCCTTTTTACCTGACAATGTTCAGAACGAAGCAAACGATTTCCTCCAGTATCATGCTTCATTCTAGAATTGTTAGGAACAGGAACATTTTGATCACCTCTGCTAGGGGAAATTTGCTCACTAGAAGCATAAAAATTGATATGTCCATTGCAAGCCCTGATAGACAAACCATAATTTTTCACTGTTGAATCTAAAGACGCCACTAGCTTTTCCGCAATAATTTTATGAGAGGATTCATTCTCCTTTTCACAAACTTTTGATGGTTTGGAATCATTACCAACCTTGTCACATGATTGCGCTCGTTTTATATATGCTGCAATTTGAAAGGCTATATTGCTACTATATAAGAGATCTTCAGATCCACTAATTAGTAATTTCCTTCTTCCCTGTGAAACTTTCTTTACTGAAGCTTTTGGTAATTGAATGCCAGGGGGAAATTCCCCCTTCTCAATAAGCACGTGTATTACATTATCAATTTGGCTTGATAAACCGTTGATAGAATTTTGAACTTGATCGACCTCTTCATTAGCAGCAGGTAGGGATTCTTCAGACATAGATCTGGAGGAGTTTTCTGATTTGGTTGAAGTATTCGGGCCCCCGAGGGTTCCATCTAAAAACCTAGACAGATAGAATTGTTGGTGGAAATGTTGATGTTTACGGGTTAGAAATAAGAAAAAAAGTAATGAAGTGAATTGGTTGAAAAGAAAAAGAAGCATATATATACCTTTGCATTCGTCTAGATACACGGAGTTGGTCCTTAGTAGGAAGAAAGTGAGTTGCTTTCAAGCGAATTGTATAAGAAGGGCAACAAGTCCTTTCCATCTCTGGTTTATAGAGAAAACATCCAGACCTTCTCCAGCCACGATCAAGAAGATCTAGCAAATGAAATACAATGAAATTGGATAAATTGACCTATTCTGCAAAAAGCAAATCCATATGGAAAATGAACACTGACCTTGGTAGTCATCCACTGTAAGGCTATGCGCCCACATGCCTATCACAAGAGAATCGAGATCATTCATTATTAATCATGTCAAGAATTAAGATTCAAGTGAGTCAAAGTTAAAATTAAAATTGAAGGAAGAGAGAGACCATGAGAGATGCTATTGTGAAGGGAAGATCTGCAATAGCCGCACGAGGCTCGACGCCTTCCGCACTCCACCACCACGCTTTCCATTGGGTTGTTGCTGCGGCTGCTACTTGCCATCTCTTCTTTCACACCTTTTCGCTCAAAACCACCACATACACGATACACCTCCACTCCACCATACTTTTCTTCAAACTTTAAACTAAATAATTTTATCTATATTCTCATCTCATACTTGTTTTTTTTTTTTTTCCACCTTTGAATGAAAACATTGTCAAAATACAATTGTTAACATAATTTTTTGCCATTAAAATAATATTACCATCAGTGCTGACTTTTTTTTTTTTTTTTTCCACCTTTGAATGAAAACATTGTCAAAATACAATTGTTAACATAATTTCTTGCCATTAAAATAATATTTCCATCAGTGCTGCCTTTTTTTTTTTTTTTCCACCTTTGAATGAAAACATTGTCAAAATACAATTGTTAACATAATTTCTTGCCATTAAAATAATATTTCCATCAGTGCTGCCTTTTTTTTTTTTTTTCCACCTTTGAATGAAAACATTGTCAAAATACAATTGTTAACATAATTTCTTGCCATTAAAATAATATTTCCATCAGTGCTGCCTTTTTTTTTTTTTTTCCACCTTTGAATGAAAACATTGTCAAAATACAATTGTTAACATAATTTCTTGCCATTAAAATAATATTTCCATCAGTGCTGCCTTTTTTTTTTTTTTTCCACCTTTGAATGAAAACATTGTCAAAATACAATTGTTAACATAATTTCTTGCCATTAAAATAATATTTCCATCAGTGCTGCCTTTTTTTTTTTTTTTCCACCTTTGAATGAAAACATTGTCAAAATACAATTGTTAACATAATTTCTTGCCATTAAAATAATATTTCCATCAGTGCTGCCTTTTTTTTTTTTTTTTTATAATCACATAAGAAAATTGTAATTATGATATTCTATAATTATTTTTTTTAAAATCAAAATTTTGACAAACCTTCTTTTATGGCCCACAGTTTTCTTACAATGTTTTTCTTAATTTGATAAATTAATAATATATACCAGCATGAGTTAAACTTATGAATGAAGAAAAAAATAAGTCTTTATCACTTTAACTTCGTCTTAATATTCTTTTATTAAAAGTGATTTTACTTTACGATCAAACTTTCAAAATTTGAGTCCAATTTGACTAAATTATGAAATTATGTTCTATTTGAGTTTCACAGTAAAAATAATATTTATAATTTCATCATATCACTTTATATATGCAACGTACTTATTTAGTTTAGGAAAAGAAGAGTTAATTCTTATACTTCAACATGACATATTTATTTTATGGTTTAAATATTGTTTCATTCTCTTAAATTTAAGATAAATTTGTTTTTATCTCTCAAATTTGAAATCATTATTTTTAATCTCTGTAATTTTTAAAAATATCGTTTTAGTCCTTTTAATCACTAATAATATATTTAAATGTAACAAATTAAGACAATTATACAATATTAATTAGATTTAATGTGATATTTTCACTAACAGGAATATTAATATATAAATTTTATGTAATAATATTTAATAAATTTCTTGATAAAATTTAATATAAAGATTAAATAAGATTTTTTAAAATTATAAGATTAAAAATATTAATTTTAAATTTGAGGGACCAAAAATAAATTTACTCTAAATTTGAAAGACTAAAAATATATTTAAATCTTATTTTATTATAAAATAATTCATCTTTTCATTCATTTTATGTTAAATTTTTATTCAATTCCTTTCTATTTTCCACTTTTTATGTTAAATTATATATATATATATAAATATAATTTATTTACTCCAAAAGTAAGTCTATGTCACACTTTTTACCTCATATTCATAATTACACAATAAATAGGAATAATTAAAATCTTTCATAAATAAAACCAGAATCTCAAATATCTTACGTAGAGAATTCACATTCATAGAGTATAAACAATATCTCCAATGAAACAATTACAAAGGAAAGAAATTGAGGTTTTCAAAACAATTCAATGAAAATAACATCCTAAACTAGTCATAACTACGTCCCGGTGTCACATATCCTATCAAAGCACACCCAACTGAAGCTTAAGCTTCATCACCAATATCCTCATATTGATGGTCATCTGTAATACAGTAAAAGACACAGATAGAACAAATAGGGGATTGAGAAACATCTCACTCAGGTCAAAGTGTAAAAATAACGGTCAAGCAACACACACAAATCATAACAAAGCACAACACAAAGCACACATTAATCAGGCACAACTCAAGTCATACATACATTAGTACCCCATACACAGTCACGCATTATGCAATGATGTCATGGACTCAACTCACAAATGCATGCATGAGGCGTCAGTCACATATCACATATCACTAGTGTGCTGCCTAAACAACACACCTAAGACAGTCTAGGAGTACATGTAGGGAGCTATCCATACAATCTCAACTAGAAGGATGTATTGCTACGGTGTACTCCACATCATACCCGTCACATAGATGCACATGATGCATGTCACACACTCACACTTCATTGACTTATCATTTCACTTGTCATAGTTACTCATATATCATGTCTCATTGTCACATATCATCATGTCTCATATTCACTTTTCACATTATTTTATCATATTTACATAGTTTTATACAAGGAACTTCTTATAGGCATATACATCAAAATAGCACACAAACCATAACACAAAATTATTCAACTTCATACACATTCAATTCACAATTCATAACATACGAAGCATAAAAGTCATAAACCTAACCATGATTTGACGCATTTTTTTTTACAACTAACCAAGTAATATAATGTTTCAATAGGTCAAAATACTCCAAATATTACCCAAAACACAAATCCATCATCAACTTTATCTATAGTCCCTCAAAATTTATCCAAAGATCATATCTCTAATTTCACTTCATAGGATTTCCCACAAGAACCTACAAAGCACTTTAATTCATATCAAAACTTGTCTATTTTTGAAATTAAACACATATTTATGCCCAGCAAACATCAAGGAACACAACAGAAAACTCTAAAGCCAAAATAGAAAACATTTGAAATTTGTCTGTTTCTTATAGGGTTTCTCGTAGGAACTCATGGAGCACTCTAATCCATATCAAAACATATCCAAACTCAAAATTAAGCATACATTCATGCTCAGTAATCGTTAAGGAACACAACAGAAAACTCAGACATGAAAACAAAAAATATTTGAAAAGTGCCTATTTCTAAGAGCATTCATCAGGTAAAGGATTAGAGTCAATCCCGCTACCAAACATATCCATTATTTAAATTAAACACACATGCATACTTAGAATCACATAAAGAACGCAATAGAACAATTAGAAAGCAAAACAGAAAACTTTCATAAAGTTTCTATTCCTATAGGCATACATCTGAAGATCAATCCTGCTACCCAACAATTATTCTCACACCCCTCAGCAAGGTTTTTCACTTCCCCCTTACCTGGATGAGTAGAAGATGAAGCACAGACAGGATCTGGTTGGTCTTCTTCTCTTGGTTCTCCTTGATCTTCAAAGAGCATAAAAAGAATATGAGTCAGAAGAGTGAATACGTGAAATGACTCCTAATAACTTCTGGTAACTCCCTTCTTAAAATAATAAAAATAAAATAATAATAATTAATCAAATGACCATCACGTCCTTCCTTCCCCTTCCATAAAATAATTAATATAATTAAAACATATCTCTTCCTTTTAATCAAATAACATAAACACAATTATTAATAAAAATACATTTCATAAAAGTTACTTATATATCTCTAATCAAAATAATAATTATAAATCACGTATCATAAATAAAATTGTGCTCATATAATTATTTAAATAATATCAAAACTCTAAAATAATTACATTAAATACCAAAATAATAATTACAAATCATGCTTTATAACAAAATAATGCTCATATGAATACTTAAATACTGAAATAATTTCTAAAATATTATTAATATAAGGTATGAAAACTGAGGTGTTACAATCTATTTAGACTTATTTTATTCAATAACTCATGTTACACGTCAAATTTTAATGATCTAATTATCGAATTTAAAGTTCTTAGTACAAAGATCAAAACTGCAGATTTTTTAAAAATTTGAAAATCATTTGATATTTTTTTAATTTAAATTGATGAATTATTATAAAATTATTTTATATATTAATTTGAATTAATGAAACCAAGTATCAAATAGTTTTTAAATTTTCTATAAACTTATAGACTCTATGAATTAAGAATTTTAAATTCAATTGTTGAATTGTTGAAATTTAATGTAGAACATGAGTTATTAAATAGAGTAAATCTATATAACTTACTTGTAAAATAAATGCATTACTCCTCTCTCTCTATATATATATAGAGAGAGAGAGAGGAAAGTTCAAACGATACCGGTATAACTTTTATTAAGTGTTACACCGGTCAATAACTTTAAATTTAATGTGAATTTTGTAAATCCAACCGTTAGATTGAAAATTCATATCACTTTATATGTGTATATCAAATTTTGTTAAAATTGAACAACAAACGATACCGGTGTAACTTTTACTAAGTGTTACACCGCTCAATAACTTTATATTAAATGTGAATTTTGAAAATCCAACCGTTAGATTGAAAGTTCATATCTCTTAGATCATATATATCAAATTTTGTTAAAATTGAACAACAACTACTACTAAAAAGACCTATAACCCTAGTTGGGAATGAACCGTTCTGGTTTAAGAACGAGCCATTCTAAACATGGTCATTATGAGTAAAACTCAACTCTAGAACAGGTCATTCTGATTTAAGAACGGACTATTCTAGACGCGAATTTAACACATGACAAATGAATCCAAAACAGACCATTTTGGATACGAAACGGGCCGTTCTGGCCACTCCTCACGTCTATAAATAGCACACTCTGGCACTACCAAAAGCGTATTTTTTACTTCTAACTTCTTTTTCTTCTACACTCTCTGAAGACCAAGGGGAACCTAGAGGAGGAGACCAACAAGATCCTGCTTTAGTTTCATCTCCTACTTATCGAGGTAAGAGGGGAGTGAAAAACCTCGCTCTGAGTGTGGGAATGTATGTTGGGTAGTGGGATTGACCCCCAATCCTATGTTTGTTGTATGCTCATGTATGAGGGGTTTTTCTCAATTATATCTATTTCA